AGTCACATTATTTTGAAAGAATATATTTTAAAATAATAGATTGATCGAGAACGTGTGATTAAAAAGTGAGGAAAAATTTTGAATTTATGTGTAATATTATTTTATTGAAAAATGTGTGATTGAAATAATTTCAAATCCTTATTTAAAAATGTATTTTTTTGAAAGAATGCGGTTCAAATGGAGCTTAATATTGTGCAATGTCATCTAACTCACCTTTCCAAACACGTCAATTCTCGAGAAATTGTTGACTGGCTGCTGCTTTGCTTCTTTAAAAGTGCACATGAGATGAAACGTAAAGAACAATCTCTTATTAGTTATATTGTGTCACAAAGGCACAAATCAAGTATTCGTAGCCCTCACACCAAGAAAAGAACATCAAACTTATTGACCAATCAACATTAATTATGACATAATATTATTTCTTAAAAGCTGGATCAAAGTAATGTGGGATTATAAAGAATTGTGAAGAACTGTAGTGCCATTTGCTGCAATCATGATCATCATGCAATATATATAATCATAACTGTTCTTGATTCTGAATGCATCAATACTGAATCACATTTGATGCAGTTAGTGTTGATGCAGTTAGTGTTGGTACAGTTAATGTCCATGAAAATTCCTGTCGTATTTCTTGCTATAATTTGGATAAGTCTATCAATTACCGGCCTTTCTCACCCTCTAGATCCTCTAACCCCTACTGAGATCGAAAAAATTAGGCTCCTCGTTCAAAAGTCTCGCGTTGGTGCCCTTTCGAATTTAACCTTTCATTTTGTTGACATTGAAGAGCCGAAGAAAAATGATGTCCTCCAGTGGCTATCTTTGCACAAAAACGGATCTTTTCCTCACCGTCGAGCTAAAGTTGTAATCCGCGTTAAGCATAATACACACGAGCTTGTTGTAGACTTTGCAACTGGTTTGATCGTCTCTAGTAAAGTTTATAAAGGCCATGGTTACCCTCCTTTCACATTTATCGAGTTTTTTCAGGCCAGCAGGCTCCCTGAGAAGCATCCCGAGTTTCAAAACTCGATTTCTAAAAGGGGTTTAAGCTTATCAGAAGTCACTTGCTTACCATTAACAACAGGTTGGTTCGGAGAAGTTGTAACCCAAAGAGTTGTTAGAGTTACGTGCTTCTATCGTGGAGGTACGACTAACATTTGGGCAAGGCCTATTGAGGGCATAACTCTACTAATCGATGTAGAGTTGATGGAAGTTATCAAATATGTGGACAGGTTAAAAGCTCCAATTCCTAAAGCTGAAGGAACTGATTTCCAAAGCCAGAGGCCTAGTCCTGTCCTCTGTAATGGAACAAACTCTCGGATAGCCATCGAAGGACATGAAGTTCGATGGGCTAATTGGGTTTTTCACGTGGCATTCAATGCTCGAGCAGGACTAATTATATCAACAGCTTCTATATTTGATGAGACAAAACACAAGTTTCGACGCGTGCTATACAGAGGGCATGTATCAGAGACATTTGTTCCATATATGGATCCTACTCCAGAATGGTACTACCGGACTTTCCTGGATGTTGGAGAATTTGGTTTTGGCCGGTCCGCCAATACCCTAGTTCCCCTTATCGACTGTCCAGGCAGCTCAGTGTACATGAATGGATACATGGCTGGAGGGGACGGGTATGCACAGGAAGTCCCGAATGCCATTTGCATTTTCGAGCGATATTCTGGGAATGTTGCTTGGAGACATACGGAACTTGGTGTACCTGGAAAAGTGGTAAAGTATAATTCTTAAACTCAGATAATCTTTGGTTGGCTTAATAGAGAACTTTTTTGTGCTGAATCGAATTTACTTCGATCTGCAGATAACCAGTGGAGAGGCCGAAACTAATTTGGTCGTAAGAATGGTGGCAACTGTTGGAAATTATGATTATATACTTGATTGGGAGTTTAAGCAAAGTGGCTCCATTAAAGTTGGGGTGAGTAGCCACCACTTTCTTGAACAATTTCTACTTGGGAGAAAAATGTACAAACGGTTTTCTCACGTCTCTCTTAGAAAACAGGTGATCCATGGTCGAGGGATAGGTGTATGGTAGCTAGGTTTAGGTTTCACACAATCCAACAATTTCATCATCTTAAACAGTAAATTAGGTATTTAGCTTTCCTATGGACATTAATTCACATTTTCATTGGAATACTCTTAACTCTTAGACATATTTTTCATTTATTTCAGCGACTGATCCGTCCTTTTATGGCAGGTAAGTCTAACCGGCGTGCTAGAGATGAAGGCAACGGAGTACACGAGTACTAATCAAATATACGAGGATACTTATGGAACCTTGGTAGCGGATAACACAATTGCAGGCAACCATGATCATTTTCTTACTTACTACCTCGACCTTGATATCGATGGTATTGATAACTCATTCGTCAAATCTAAATTGAAAACTGTTAGGCCAATGCCCACTGGCATTTCATCAAGGAAGAGTTACTGGAAAGTTATTCAAGAAATCGTTAAAACAGAAGCTGATGCTAGGACTCGACTAGGTTTGGATCCAGTCGAGTTCTTGATAGTTAATCCTAATAAGAAAACAAAGCTCGGAAATCACGTGGGTTACAGACTGATCACTGGACGACCAGCTGAATCCCTGCTCTTAGACGATGACTACCCACAAATACGTGCATCTTATACAAGGTATCAGGTGTGCATGACCTGCTATAACAAGAAAGAGAGGTGGGCTGGAGGTTTTTACGCCGATAGGAGCCA